CAGGTAGTTCTCTTGAATGGGAGTAAGGGTGACTCTCACAGCACTATCCCAGTAGTTTCCTAGTCATAGCAGAAATTGTAATATAATAACAGAACTTCAAGTAAGAAAAAATTGATGCAAAGATGTGTTTTTAGCCTCATATTGCAGTTGAAGTTACATTTAGATTTCAGAAGAGGGCTTAGAACTGGTAAGGAAGGAGAGTAGCGGAACGAACATTCTGTTCTGCAGGGTTTGAGGGTGCTGATCATCTATGAGTCATTGCCCCTCAGCATCATCAACTAGAGGGTTGGAGAGTCTGGTCATGGCTCTCTGCTCTCTATCCCATGAAAGAGAGGATGCTGACAGGATGCAGAGCAGAAGTACACTATGCTGGGAAGTTGGAAAGCAAACTCAAGTGCTAAAGTTCTTCTATGTTTAGGCTCTCTTGTAATGTTGGGAAGATGGAGCGGATTACAGGAAAGAGGAGTATGCTTTCAGTTGTACATACTCTTCTGCTGTGCTGAAGTGGGCAGATGTCCCGCAGATTAAGGAAAATGTCCCATCAACACATGGCCCTTATCGAAATGTCCTTCTCTTATGAAAGGCTGGTGTGAGGGACAGGTCTTAAGAATAGGTGATAGAGACCATGTACGCTCTGTATGTTCTTTTTTGTTTTTTACAATGCATGCATTGATTTGAGTGACTCAGATTCTGTCACTGAGCGTGGTTCTCTTCTTGCTAACATGGTGGCGTGTCGCCATGCTCCGTGGCAACCTGGGTGGAAAAACAGTGCTAAATAAAATAAGATCAAGCCCATTCTCTTCTAGCAGATTTATGTATTTATTACTATAGGCAACAAAGCCAAACTCAAATGTTTGACCATATCCAGGTCTGGCACTTTGGCTTGCCTTAGGCTGACCTTGTTAAAGCTCCCTTCATGTGCAATCCCTCATGGCGATGGATATTTCCCAGCCATTTCTAGTTCAGCCTCAAGGCCCGAATTGCTCAGACTGAGTGTTCATATTGAGACCCAGAAATGTATTAAGCTGATTATTCTTTGAAATCCCCCCGGCCCCCCTCCTGCTCTTCCCTTCCTTTGGTGCTAGCTGTCGGATCATTCCCCAGAGAAGAGTGGCTTTAAGTAGGCAATTACTTGTGATTCATAGGGTTTATTAGGAGTGAGAGAGGGCCAATCATGTCTGGCCTTTCTCACCTCTCAAATGGGAAGAGAAGATTCCTCCAGCAAGCCAGACATACATCTCCATTACCTGAGATTGCTGTAGTGCTAATGGATGCCCTTTCCTCCTCTTGAGAGGAAGAAAACAGGCCAACAGCTGTGTGAAATCCTTAATTCCTCTGGAGTATCATTTAGCTCGACCTGATAGCAAATGTGAGTGTCTCAGACATCAGTAAACAGTAAATGGCTGGTCAACATCAAGGAGAGAGAGACAGAGATCCACTCCTACCAAGCAAGGGTGGGGAGGGCTCTTTTCTACTGGGGGGTTGCTTCTGGCTTTGCCATTTTTCTCAAGCATCCTTTGGAACAGTTCCTGGTCCTTGTTATCCCAGCTGCAAGACAGAGTCGGACTCCCCTTACTTTGTACAGGGCCAGATGGCAGCGGACCACATGCAGAACCTTTCCTTGCACACCTGGTATGAACTGGAGAGTAGCCTACGTTGGGAGTCCTCTCACTTAATGTCTTGTTCTGCTCCTTAATGCTTTATCCCTTTGGGAGGCCTGAGATAATGGACTGCAAAAAGCTGGCAATGTTTTATCAAGGCACCGACAGCTTGCACCACTCATTTAGACTTTCAGAAAGCTCTCTCCTCTTAGTAGTTATTAAAGTCTGCCTTTTTGGGAACTGTCCTTCCATGAGATAAACTGGACTTTTACTTCAGAACAGCAATGACATCTTGTCTTGGCCTCTAATAAGATCAGAGCATATGAATTTCATGTTTTTGGAATGGTTGTCACCTCCTTGGAAACCTCAGATAACTGTAAGTCACTTCTGCCTTATTTTGCATCTTACTATTTATTATTTTGTCCCTCAGACAGCTGTGTCTGTCCCTCCCATTTGTTCCT